CCTGATCAATTGCACAGGGAATGATGCACTTCAGCGGCGGGTCCCCAGCTAGCCGTCGTAGCACACGGGGGAAGGCACTGCTAAAACACGGCGCGACCTGCACCGCTGGAAAGGCTGCCTTTCCAACATTGTCGCTATCCTTCAGGCCAAATGTATTCTTCACAGCGCTCAGCGTCAACATGCGCTGCACCTGCACGACAGTTGGGCACATGTCCCCCATGTACACCGTGTTGCGGAATATAAATGTCTTGCGTGGATCGAAGCCAAAGGCAACGATGTCTTTATGTTCTCCACCACCAACCCGCTCGCCCTCTCCCCGCTGACGGGAATGTCGCGGAAGAAGTGCTTCTCATCATCGGTTATCTGAATCACCAACGGAAGACCGAGCGCATCCTGCAGGTGCCGCGTCAATAAAAACGGTATGACATGGCCAATGTGCATCGACTGCGCGCTCGGTCCACGGCCAGTGTACAAGTACGCGCGGTGTGTCCCCGTCGCAAAGGACGCACGCACGCAGTCAAGGGCGGTTCCAAAATCCCTGTGGGAGAAGACAATGCCGCGGCGGAAAAAATGGAGCAATGCCATTCGTCCCGCCTCCCCTTGTGCGGTGCCGGTTGCCTGCGCGCGCTCCTTCCGTCCGTTGCGTGTCTCCTCCAGCCGCTGCAGAAGGGGCTCATCAACGGGCTCCGACCTGAATCGTGAGGACGCGGTCATAGTCCACACCCCTCGGGCCCGTGGCGGCAACACCCCACGGCTTCACAACGTCCTCCTTGCGCTCTGCGCGGCTGGCATCATCCCCACGCGTCGTGGCACAACTTCGTCCCCCACAAACCAACTGCGCAGCAAAGCGTGAGATGCGATGCATCACAAAAGAATACAGACGACTACTTCGCCCGTGCACCGCAGTGCCACAGCGGACGGAAAACAAACAGGCAGGAGGAGAGAGGCAGGACTTCGGGACAGCACACACCACCTGATGCCACACGAAAAAAAAAAAAAATGCATGCAGCGGGCTCCAACACCCAAGCGCGCACTTCTGCCGCAGCCAAGCCACAAACGCGTAGCCTCCCACACAATCGCTGGAAATTACAAGACAATCAAATGAGCACTGGCAGAAAAGAAAGACAATAGAAAAGCACCAATGAAAACAAAAATGAGCGACACTGTTGGTGCGCCATAAAATGACTGGCCGTGGCGTGCAGCAGCCGTGGCCCTGCGCCATCTCCCCCCATCGGCCAGCACCGCACACCCGCCACTTCCACGCAGCGATATACACGCAGCAGCTGCTGGTGGTGGCGGATCACAGAGTGACAAGAGAAACGAGAAAGAATTACAACAAACAGCACAGCGCAGTCAAGTTAAGCAAAGTAAGAACTTGGGGCGATGAAAACTCCACACACATTATCCAGAACATAAAAGACAGTCAAGCCAACACTGGCAGAAGAGAAAGACAATAGAAAAGCACCAATGAAAACAAAAATGAGCGACACTGTCGGTGCGCCATACAATGACTGGCCGTGGCGCGCAGCAGCCGTGGCCCCGCGCCATCTCCCCCCGTCGGCCAGCACCGCACACCCGCCACTTCCACGCAGCGATATACACGCAGCAGCTGCTGGTGGTGGCGGATCACAGAGTGACAAGAGAAACGAGAAAGAATTACAACAAACAGCACAGCGCAGTTAAGTTAAGCAAAGTAAGAACTTGGGGCGATGAAAACTCCACACACATTATCCAGAACATAAAAGACAGTCAAGCCAACACTGGCAGGAAAGAAAGACAATAGAAAAGCGCCAATGAAAACAAAAATGAGCGACACTGTTGGTGCGCCATACAATGACTGGCCGTGGTGCGCAGCAGCCGTGGCCCCGCGCCGTCTCCCCCCATCGGCCAGCACCGCACACCCGCCACTTCCACGCAGCGATATACACGCAGCGGCCGCTGGTGGTGGCGGATCACAAAGTGACAAGAGAAACGAGAAAGAATTACAACAAACAGCACAGCGCAGTTAAGTTAAGCAAAGTAAGAACTTGGGGCGATGAAAACTCCACACAAATTATCCAGAACATACAAGACAGTCAAGCCAACACTGGCAGAAAAGAAAGACAATAGAAAAGCACCAATGAAAACAAAAATGAACGACACTGTTGGTACGCCATACAATGACTGGCCGTGGCGTGCAGCAGCCGTGGCCCCGCGCCGTCTCCCCCCATCGGCCAGCACCGCACACCCGCCACTTCCACGCAGCGATATACACGCAGCAGCTGCTGGTGGTGGCGGATCAGAGAGTGACAAGAGAAACGAGAAAGAATTACAACAAACAGCACAGCGCAGTTAAGTTAAGCAAAGTAAGAACTTGGGGCGATGAAAACTCCACACACATTATCCAGAACATACAAGACAGTCAAGCCAACACTGGCAGAAAAGAAAGACAATAGAAAAGCACCAATGAAAACAAAAATGAACGACACTGTTGGTACGCCATACAATGACTGAACGTGGCGCGCAGCAGCCGTGGCCCCGCGCCATCTCCCCCCATCGGCCAGCACCGCACACAAATTTCACGTGGCGCATGTCACAGGATAGCGTGATTCACGCTTCCGCGTGTAGTTGATGCACGGTCCAGGAAGCTTAATGCGTTGGAGTGGGTGTCGACTGCCAGTGGCTGCGGCTGACGGTCAATGGTATCTGGATTGCGTTCGTTGCTACCAATTATGCGCTCCCACTGCGGCGGTGCGGGTGGTCGGTACGACGACGCGCCGGCGGTGCCTGAGGCGTACGACGATGATGTCCTGTCGTGGTGCTTCCGCAACTCTTCGTCGCTCTCCTCGTCATCGCGCAGAAGCGCATCCAGCCCTCCACGCTGCGGCTCGCGCAGTTCCTGCCAGTGGCGGTCCTCCACGTACCACACAGCCGCACAGTACACAGTGGCCGCAAGCAGCACAGTGGTCAGCAGCATCAGAAGTGCTGCGTACGCCCTCGCTCCGCCGTCGCTGGGCGCAAGATGGTTGGCCGCGCTGGTCAGGCACAGCGCCGCAAGGAGCACAAAGCTCGCCGTGCGCATCACCGTCAGGAAGGCCGAGCGCATCATGTTCGTGAAGGCAACCACGCCCGCACCCGCAAGCAGCACAGCAGCCATGCAGAAGTACAGGACGTGGCAGACTCCCACGGGCGGGTGCACAGCCGCAATCAGACCCACCACGCACAGCACCGACAGCTGGAACACGCACCAGTACACGTAGCTGCCCTTCATGTTCGTTAGCATGCCGCCGTACATCCGCTGCTGCGCCGCGGGGTGCCAATACCCGACGGGGTACAGCAGGCGCTCGTGCAGCGGCTTCCTCGAAAACTGCCAGTACTTCGCAAAGCTCGCGCCCGTGTGGCGGGCAATCAAGTAGCACACGCCAGCGGGGAACGCCACACCGTACAGCACGCCAACGACACCGATCACGTAGTGCTGCACGCGGGCGCCGGGCATCGCCAGTGCAAACACGGAGCCGAAGAAGATGCCGAGGTGCATCGCGTGCGCCACGACGTACGTCAGGCTCGGGAAGCGCATCGCCGCCCACGCACTCGCCGCGTCCACGCCGCGCCACCGCTGGAAGGCCGACGTCACACCGTAGTGCACGCACCCGAACACAGCGGCGAGCAGCGCGTTGCCCACCACCATCCACAGCGGATCAAGGGCAGCGAACACCGACAGGAAGTACGGCAGCGCAACGGTGCTCGCACGCTCCTGCGCCGAGGCGCATGACATTTTCGCAAACACGCCGAGTGCCTGCATCTCCAGGATGGAGCCCAGCCCGCCGGTCACCACCACGGCAACAGCCGTTGCACCCGCAACAACGCCGGTGATCGCCGAGAGGGCGCTGGCAACGGCAGGCGGCGTGTTAGACGCGATGGTGAAAGATCCAAGTAGCACACCGTTGCAGCCGCCAAACACCGCCACAGCGTCGCAGCGAATGACTATCGTCTCGTCGGCACCAATGAAGTAACTGCGGTGCACGGGCACAGCCAGCTCCAGGACGGTGGACGGATTCGTCGCGTTGCGCTCCCACGTCGCGTTGCTCAGCATCGCTCCCCACGGACCACCAAACCCACTCGGCTGCACCGTCGACACCGGCACGAAGCTCAGGTGCGTGCCGAGCTGCGGGTCGCTTGCCCACCGGAACGGCGGCGGCAGCGCCACCATCAGCCGTGTCGGGACGGCGCTCCCACCGCCGCGAATGTCGTTCTGCGTCAGGCTCCCACCAGCCGCCGTCGTCGTCACGGTGAGTGTCGGGCACGCCACGTCGCTCCACCACGGCGTGCTGCTCACCGACAGGCTCATGCTCAGTGACTCCGATGCCGTCATTGTCGCGGTCGGCAGCTCCGTCGCCGTAACCGACGCTGCCGGGGTCGGCGTGGGCAGCAGCGTCTCCGTTTCCGTCACCTGCGGCGTCTCCGTCGGTCCGTAGTTCGTCGGACTGTAGCGTGTCGCGCTCAGGCTCGTTGTTGGCGGCGTTGGCGTCCACGTTGGTGTCAGGCTGCGCGTCGCCGTCAGCGTCGCCGTGTGGCTCAGCAGCGGTTTCTCGGGCGTGCGGTTGCACCCGTCTACGCGCGGCAGGTACACCGGCAGGCAGTCGCGCCCGTACCCGCCCTCAGCACAGCGGCAGCGGCACGACTCCGACATCGCCCTCGTCGCAGCAGCAAAGCAGCTCACGTCGGCGTCGCACACGCTGCACGCCACGGGGCGAACTTTCCCGATGATGCCGGCGGACCTGTAGTTGATCGGCTGCAGCGCCTGCCCGTTGAGCGTCAGGCACCCCACGACGAACCTTCGGCCGGCGCTCCCGAGCTCAACGGTGCCGTCCATCACGACGGGCCCACTGCCAGCGTTCTTGTGAAACGTCAGCGTGCTCTG